ACCCCCATCACCCTTCACCACTGTCCAGACCACTGCTGCTGTCTGAGAGAGTGGACACAACCCCAATCACCCTTTACCACTGTCCACACTGCTGCTGTCTGAGAGAGTGGACACAACCCCAATCACCCTTTACCACTGTCCACACTGCTGCTGTCTGAGAGAGTGGACACAAGTGGACACAGGCCTGGCCGTGCTCTCAGAACGTTCTACGACGATGGGCTCAGAACTGCTTTTCCTCATGTGAGGCACCCATCGAGATGGATTTATCTATTTTTCATAACAGGCCAGCAGAAACTTTGCAGTTGAAGAGCTGTGTGATCTGGCTCAGCATGTGACCAGGGGCTAACTGTCCACACCCCCACAAGCTACACTTATCACACTCGGTTGGCTTGGAGGGGTATGCTGTCCTGAGAACAAACCTAGAATCCAACAAAGCTGAAGATGGAGCAGATGGCTTGTTACTAAGTTTAACACAGAGGACAAGGAATTTTAATGGCCGAAGAAATTTGTTGCACAACCTGCAGGTTCCACTGGGACAGTTTTAGCTGGAGCTGATGTGTTTGTCACTGTGTGTTGCCATGGGAACCTGATGTGTGCAGTTATTTTCCCCGATTCTGCATCTCGTCAGGGAGAGACTCCAGGGCTAGACTGATGCCAGGTCCTGACCTCCACATTCTCCTGGGCACTGTCGTTCATTTCAAAACCTTCAAAGCTTGAGAAGGCCATTCATCTCATCTGACCCATTTAGTTGTGAATTGATCCAAGGATCTCATCCAGCAGTTTCTTGAAAGAAATCAAGGTATCGGCTTGAAGCACATGGCTGTGCAGATTATTCCAGACATAAATAAGTGTCTCTGTTCCCAGGTTTAAATGCACTTCCATGTTCCCATGTGTGTCCTCTGGTTCATGTTTCACTGTTCTTTCTAAAAAACTCCAATAGGTTATCAGAGGAGTTTTAAACATTAGCATTCTGAAGAAGTCTAAAAGTTTTGAGGACGTCCACTGGGTTGACCAAGGATTTTAAATAGTTGGATCAGATCCCTTCATAGTCTTCTTGTTTAAGAATAAAAATGTTCTTTAGTCTTCCTGTATAGGACAGTCCCTTAAGATCCTGAATAAACATGGTTCTCTGGACTGATCCCAGCACAGCAGTGTGTTTTCTATAATGTGGTGCCCAACATTATTCACTACTGTACATTCTTCTTAGGTCTCACTGGTGAATTACACAATATCAACAGCCTTAGATTTAAATTATATGATTTTAACTGCATATCCTAGTATTTTGTTTGTCTTTTAATTGCTTTCACATATTGCCTAAAAGATATACAGTATGTAGGATGTAAGACGTAATAAGTAACATGTCAAAATAAATACCCAAATCTCTGTCATAACTAGCCCCATCTACCTCAGCATATCCCAGTTTGTTTTCACAGCTCACGTCTCAGCCCAGCTGCAGGGCCGCTTGCAAACTCTGATCTGTGGTGCCAGACTCCAGCACCCACCACCTCAGTGTCTCTGTCTGGGGATGCAGGAGCCCAGACCCTGCAGAGGGGCAGACCTGTTCAGGGGCGTGGTGCTAGGCGATATTGTTCGGGTGCCTGGCTTCCTTTCACCACTGGGGACCTGACTCTCTCAGTCCATTTTTCCAGTTTGTTTCTCCAACAGTCCGGGGATGATACAGCACCTCCAGGAACGCTGGTTTTGTCAGTTCCTCAATCTCTGGGTGCCTTCAGTTCCTCTCCAGTGTAAAACCCTTTTCTTTCACTGGACAATGCCCTCTCTTACACAACAGCCCAGTCAGGGACAGGCAACATAGACATCATCAGGACACAGTGTGCATCTGTGTGTGTCTGTGTGCATTTGTGCAAGACTGTGTGTGATAGTGTCCGAGTGTGTGTGTGACTGCGTGCATCCATGCGAAACTGTGAGTGACTGTGCCCATTTGTATGTGATTGTGTAAAGTACATCTGTGTGTGATTGTGTGCATCTGTGTGTGACTGCATGCAACAGTGTGCGACCGTGCGAGACTGTGCATGACAAAGGAAGGTACTTTGTAAAACAAAGCCATCTTCACACTCTCCATGTGTCATAAAATCAGAAATTGTTCTTCTATTCTTTTTTGCCTATAGAGGCAGGAGATGTCCCTAATGGTTCTCTCTATACAGGCAGCTGCAGGACACAGAGAGACGATCACAGCTGCGATCAAACAGTTCTGGGTTGTACTATTATCAGCTGTAATATGTTTCTGATCCAAGATTGAGCTTTTTAATTATTTTTACTCTACAGTAGAGAACGTTAACTCTCATATCTAGGTATTTTCTTTATCTCTAAAACCTTTACTATCATAAGGATTTTGTGTTTCAGCGTGATGTCCATATCTGCTGTATTTGATTAGCTAACATAAGGGCTGTCAGTACTTTCCTGCACATGTTTTTCTGTGTTATAGATAGATATAACATACTTTATAACAATATAACAATATTTTAGATATTCCATTAATCTAAAATGATTATTATTTAGAAACAAAATAAAACATCTAGGCATTAAAGTCCTTACAAGTCACTGAGTCAGGAGAGAGGGCACAGCAAGAGAGAGGGAGATACAGATTGAGATGTGCAGTAGCGGTCTCGAGAAACACATCATATCTGTCACTTTAATTAGACTGTCAGTTGAAATGTATGTTTGTGATAAAAAGAGAGCTGGCTGGATGTGGCTCCGCAGTGTGTGGATCAGTCAGCCTGACCTGCATTCTGTGCTGTTTTTCAAGAAATTTGTCAGCATGAGCTTTGCTAACTATTCTGTCACGAGTCAATATATTCCTGCGTGGTGAAGGGGGTGTCAGTACCGGGAACGCCATGTTCCTCAAACTGATTACACTACGCAAAGGACATCGTGTCCTGTTATCAACTTTCACAAGAACCAAGTCTCTCTGAGTGTCTCTCTTCCTCACAGCTGCTCCCTCAAAGCGACACATCGCAAACTTAATACAACAACACAGGAGAAATGTAAACTAATTAATATTTTATGTATTCAGTATAAAAATCTACTTGGTGTTATTATTTTACGGAACAGAAGAAATATTAAAGTTAAGAATCCATGAAATCAGCTTGAGATAAAAAAATCAATTTTTAATTTCTGTGGAGAACACCTCCTACAGTTCATAACTCGCCCTTAAATACTCATTCAGCTGTTTTCCAACTTATTGCACAAAATGATGAAAATTGCATTGACTTGGTCTCACACCTCAAAGACAAAGAATTCTTCCAGGATTCCACTTCCTGAGTGATTGAGCTACTGAACACACTGCAGCCCAACACACTGATACTGAGCTACTGAACACACTGCAGCCCAGCACATTAAGAGATATTGAGTGAGGGATGGAATCATGTTTGATCAGAGAATCTCGACAGCCACTGCATTCAGCTGCCTACCTCACAACAGTCCCAACATTCCACTCAAGAACATTACTTAACTGGGAACTGACCCCTGTGGACCTCTAATTATATCACCCATTCTGAACACTCATTTCTTATCAGGAATCTCTGTTTTATTAACTAATTCTCAGCCCAAACTCTGTACTTATCTGTAACTGGACCATTAAATGTTTATGAGGAACTTTCTAAAAAGATTTCTTGGAATTCACATCACATCTCATCATGTGTTCTGTTAGTATGCTTCCGTGCTGTTACTTGTTCAAAGTACAGAATGATAGATGCTACCATGAGCTTACTATAGTATATCCAGCTCAATATAATTTTTGTCAGTACTCCAAATAAAACTCTAAACTGTTATTCATCTTTGGGAAAAGAGTTCATGTTTGTTAAATGAATTGAAGAAAAGTGATCTTATTGGAGGTGGTGATGATTTCTAGTTTTCCTGAGCTCTGTAATGCCTGGAGCTGAGTTCATGCTTCCCGGTGTCTGCCTGGCTGTCACTACAGATGAGAAATCTAGATTCTCAACCTTGGTCTCTCCAATTTCCCTTCAATATAAACAAAATTTCAAATGGTTTTCCTGCCGTGTATGGGCTCCTGACATTCAGTCTTTCCGACACATCTGAACAGTGGTGTCCTTTCCATTAACTTTTGCTTCAGTGCATTTCGAACAATGTTTGTGTTTCGTCACACTAGCACATTAGCATAGACTTCACACAGGAAGCCCAGGCAAGCGGCTGAAGAGGAAAGCACTGTTTCTGTTGTACGACCTTTAATAGGTACATATGGAGGACTGGACTCCCTCAGAGCTCTGCTGGGAGAGGACAGCCGAGGAGGAGGAGGAAGAGTAGAGTAGAGCTCTCCTCACTCCTGCCTTGTTGAGCTTATCCCCGCCCAGGCAAAATAGCCGTGGGACACCTCAACAGTGCACCTACCAATCTGTGTGAGTTGTGTAATGTTCAAGTTTATGGGCCTTTTTGGTGAACAAAGTGCTACCAATTTGAGGTTGAAAAACCAGAGCCAGATGAAGGTCCCTCTGTTCACCTGCCCAAGTGCTGCCCAGCCACACAGGGGCAGTCCCCTAGCCCGTGTTCCTTCTCTGAGGAGTCCTAGCTTCTGTATTCACCATTCAGCTCTGCTCTGCAGGTAGCTGCAGTGTTTTCCTCAATAGCTCTGTCATGAGAGGAACTTCCCCGCCTAACTAGGGCACTGCGTGTCCAGCAACTGCATCAGCAAGTCATAAAAACAAAAAACTGCAGAGAAGAAAAACACTTTAACATCCAAGTCGCCTGCAGCCAGCCTGTACAGCAGGGATACAGGGGTCTCTCTCCCAGGCACCCACATTCAGACCACTGGAGACCTCTGCACTGAGGCTGCTCTTCCTAGCTCATCAACTAGTGTTTCTGTCCTCGCAGTGAGAACCATCAGGGTGTCTGGATGGCCCTTTGAGCCCGAGGAGCCCCTGAAAGGCACGACAGGAGAGAAGCTTGTGTCCTGTGTGGCAGTGTGTCACTCCCTGTCCCTTCCAGGCCTGCCTCCCAGCACTAACTGTCTTTTCCCCTCACAGCGTGGAGCACGACTTCCGGCTGCAGGAGGGTCAGTTCACGCGGGCGTGGAGTATCGTCGGATCGGAATCGGGACACAGCTCACCCCAGACCAGCACTGCAGCACCCAGAAATCAGGACTCCCCGCTGTCCCGCCCCCTTGCCCCTGCCAAGCCTGAGCACAAGAAGGGGCGACGTAAGTGCTTCTGGTTCCTGTGAGCTGGACAATGGACAAGGAGATCACAAGCCT